TTGTAGGATGTGTATTTTCATGTTGTCAACATAAAATCCCATTCATTCATTCATGAACTACTTCCTGAGCCCCTACTATGCTCCTTATTGTGACTTAGAGCAAGACAGGTATGGCCTATGCCCTTGCAGGTCAGTGGGGGATACAGACGTGTGAAAAACACTAACCTGGTAATAAGAGAAAACAAAGAGAAGGAGCTATAGGAATGGAGGAGGGACACTTAGCCAGAAGTAGGCTGACAGGGATGGTTTCCCAGAGGAAGTACTGCCTCCTTAGGACCCAGAGTGTGGGTGAGGCTGGAAGATGAGTCTGGGGAAATGTGCCAGGTCAGATGGTTGGCAAGTGAAAGCTAGATGTGGTAAGCAAGGAGCCTATGTGGGCAGAGAATGTAGTTTCAGGTCCTGGAGGAGGGTATTAGTGATGGAGGATGTGGCAGTGAAGGGAGACAGTGGCCAAGGCTTGCCCATGTGACCTGAATGCATTTGTAGTTGTCATCCTTCAACCTGAACTTCCAAAAGTCAAGTATGTCGTTTGTGTCCTAGCTTCAAAGAAGTAAGATATAGTCAAGCTGACAGCTGAATGCTCCTTTACACTCACCAGGGGGTAAATCTGTGGAGGGCTTTAGTATCTCTAAAGATCCTTAGGCCCCTTCCTCTTGATCTAACCTGCTGCTAGTTTGTTCCTGCCACACTAGCTCTGCATCTGCTCAGAATATAAGTAGCAGTCTCGTCTGCCTCAGGGCCTTTGCACATGCTGGTATTCTACCATAGAAGGCTTTCTTCCCTTCCCATGCTTAGAAAATTCATACTCTTCATTCAGTTCTCAGCTCAAACATCATTCTCAGACCTTAACCAAAATAATTTCCTATTATTCCCCATGCTGTGTTTTCCTCCACAGCACCCATTATATTATTTGTGTATTTATTTATTTTTCCTCTTGCTATGGTATAAATCCCATGAGGGTCTTTTCACTGTACTGTCCCAAATAGCAAGCCATCCAAAAGTAATGTTTGCTTGGGAAATACATTGTGTAATGTGTTTGCAGAGACTTGTACTTCTAATTATGTATTATTTAAGCTAATATTTGTCACAAGTTATGTCCATACAAGCACAGCTCACAGTATAAGCTTGCATCTGTTTAGGTTACCAGTACATACTCAGTACTTAGAACAGTGGCCAGACATGTAGTAGCTGTTTGAAAAAGTCAGTCAGGATGGACACATGTTAGCCAGAAGAACTGCTAATATGCAGGCTTTCATGATGGTTCTATGTTAACAGGTTGGCCTGAGTGGTCTCCATGCAGACCTGAGTCCATGAGTGCGTTGCACATGTACACATTGGCATTTGCCTCCTACCTCCCTCCTACGTCACTGTCATTTGCCACAAAACTAGAAGTACCACAATCCAACACGTAATTGCTATGTCATATTAATTATATGGAAACCAAAACAAAATGACTAACTCCCACTTCTTGGAATACTAATAACACTAATACCAATATCATGATGGAAGATTATCTTAGAAGCAATTTTTCTGTTCTGCTACCCACATAAGTGACTGTTACTTGCTTTTGCAATCACTGTAAATCATGACCAGGAAGAACTATCCCAGAGTTGGTTTTATACTTGCTTTCAGGAGAGACTCATGCACTAAATCTAAAATATAAGTTTTACATCTTTAAAGGGAGAGGGGGGTTTCTGTTCTTTTCTTTAAAAGCCTAGGTAGAGGAGGGCTTGCTGGGAGTAGGGGCATTAATATGCTAATAGATGGTCAGGACCAGGAGTGTGGCTTAAGGTGAGGCTTTGGAGGGATGGAGGATGCTGCATCCCTCTGGTGGGTGAGTGTGTTCTTATTATCCCTTCTTTCTTTGGGTGCAACATCCCTGTCTATGCAGTTTTACTAAAATTTTAAAAATGTCCACATGACCCAGCCCTGACCAATCGTAGACACCCCCCCCCCATCACCCTGTGATTGGCCCAGGGATGTAACGCCCTCTGTGCCATGCCAACCAGAGTTCATCCTGGGGATTAAAACAAGTGTAAATCCTGAGAGCAAGTCTCTTCCCTTTTTCTCTGGATTTGCTGAACTAATGTCAGCCAGAACTCAACTTTGGCCAAGTCTACCTGACATCTCTCCGCTTCCCTGCCACCTGCAGGAGGAACAGTTCTGAAAGGGAAAGGAGCTGTAAGAGAGAGAAAAAGTGGGAGCTGTCAACCTGAGGACATTATAGGGAGGCAAAAATGTGCCACCCCAAAATATGTGTTTTTGGCAAAATTTGATTCATGGGAGGTGGAGGAGGTTGCTTTTGTAAAAAATATTTATAGGTAACTTTTTTCTCTGAAGCTCTCTCCCAGGAAGATTTAATATCTTCTCTTTCATCAGAGAAGGCAGAACTTTATCTGGGCTACTTTTACCTACTGTGCCTTACCTAGTAACCTCCCTGACCTTCCTTTTCTTCCCCTTACCTCCCTTGTCTTATGGAAGCTATTTAAGATGGCATCTGAGGTCACAGGGGCGAGTTCCTCAGTCATGCTGGGGCTCGCCCATGTAGACAGGAGGTACACGATGTCATTACACTTCTCGAAGGCTTTTCTCCCAGCAATCTGTCTGATGCTTGTTTGCCAGCCTAGAGGAACCCAGAGGGTATGGGGTTATTTCCTCTGTGTCCTGACAGCATCACTTGGGCTTGTGGAGTCAGGAAAGTGGGCTCCTCTCTTGTAGAAATCTGTTAGGCAAGGCAATGTCTGCCTTTTTTAAAAATACTTTTTTGAGTATGTTCCCTGTCTTCTGTAGTATAAAGATTCCTCGTAGACAGAAGGGCAATCTGTGTGTGAACTCAGGCCTGCTTTAAGTGGGTGGGAACCTGTCTTGGGGACATGGTCATCACATCTGTCTTTGTCATCTGTTGTCTGAGCGTCTGCTACATGGGTCTTGTCACTAAGGATACAGGGGTGAGATGGTCCCTGTGCTTATGGAGCTTCCAGATGCCCTGATTCAACTGCTTTGTGTGTTTTTGAAAGGAAGGAGAAAGGAGTGGGTGGTGAAGGGATGATGTGCTCAAATGAGAATTCTTGAGAATTGCTTGTAAGGCATAATGAAAATCTTCCTTACACTGAGTTTGCATTGAGGGATGAAGTGACTAACAATCTGAATTTTGCCAAAGCATCATAAAACTTTTGGTGGAAGGATGTGGTCATTGGCCATCCACCATCACCTTACATCTCACAGCTAAAAGATACCCCTGGTTGGATTTCTGGAATAAGTAGTACTGAGGTAGGTTAGAATTTCGCTGGCCACTGCCTCCTGGTGGTTTCACTGGGATTTTCATCTTTTCTGATCTCCAAGGATGCTCTGAGCCTTGCCTCCTCACACTAGTCCCCTGTTGGCCAGACTCCCAGGAATGGTGTAGTCCTTAGGAGAGGCCAGACTAGTTGCTTTATTACATGATGTCCTCAGTTGCTGTACCACAGGCTCTCCCCCAATTCCCTGCTATCCATGAAGGAGCAACAATTACATTACAATGATTAGATGTTGTACTTGACAGTTCCTTCAAGTCAACATAGTATATTGTCATAAAAAAAGCAGAGTAATGGAATAGACTAGAGAGCCCAGAAATGAACTGATGATATATTGTCAATTTATGATAGGACAGGATAGATACAATAAATGGTGTAAGGAAAACTAGGCAAAAATCAACTTAAAGTAGATCAAAGATTTGATTATCTGACCAAAAACTCTAAAACTGTAAGAAACTGGTAGCAAGTTCCTTGACATTGGTTTTGACACTAAAAACAAAGGTAACAACAAATAAGTGGGACTAATGTCAGAATAAAAATCTACTGCACAGCCAAGGAATTCATCACTGAAATGAAAAGTCAGCCTACCAGACAGGAGAGAATACTTGTTAATCATATATATATACATATATATATGTGTATATATATATATATATATATATATATATAATAGGTTAATGTCCTAAATACATAAAGAACTCATACAACTCAACAGCAACAAAAAAACCCTATTAAACAGGCAGTATGTCCAAGAGGACATACTGAGGGCCAACAGGCATATGAAGACATGCTCAACACCACTAATCACCATGGAAATGCAGATCAAAACCACAATGAGACATCATCTTGTTAGAATGGCCGTTATCAAAAAGAGAAGCAGTAACAAGTGTTGGCAAGGATGTGCAGAAAAGGGAACGCTGGTGCCCTTTTGCTAGGGCTGTAAACTGGTGCAGCCACTGTGAAAACAGGATGGAGGTCCCTAAAAATAGAAATACCATATAACTCAGCAATTCCACTTCTGGGTATTTATCTGAAGAAAATGAAAACACTAACTTGCAAAGGCATCTGCATGCTTATGTTCATTGAAGCTCTGGTTGTAATAGTCAAGATGTGGAAACAACCTAAGTGTCCATCTATGCATGAATGGATAATGTATGTGTATATATAATGGAATATTAGTCATACAAAAAGGAAAATCTTTCCATTCATGACGTGGATGGACCTTGAGGATATTTATGCTGAGTGAGGCAAGTCCTAGACAAACACCCTATGATCTCACCTATAGGAGGAACACAAAATAAACAAAACAAGCAAACTGAGCTCATGGATACAAAGTGGTTTCCAGAGGTTGGGGTGCAGGGGTGGGGAGCAAAATGCAAGAAGGGGGTAAAGTACAAATCACAGCTATAAAATAAACCCCAGGGATGCACTATATAGCATGGTAGCTATAGTTAATAATACTGTATTCCATATGTGAAAGTTGCAAGAGAGTAGATCTTAAAAGTTTCCATCACATATTCACCAAAGTATTTTGTAACTGTGTATGGTGATGGATGGTAACTAGATTGATTATGGCAATCATTTTGCAATATACACAAATATGGGAGACTCATTATGTTATAGAATCATTATATCATAGAAACCTAACATAATACTGGAGCTCTAAAAGGAAAAAGGTAAGTTTATTTGGTTTCTTCCCCATTTAAGGAGGCAGGGATGCCAGATTATCACAGCTGTGTTGGATCTAGTACCCAGCCTCTCTCCCTCAATAGCCTGGCCGTCCAGCCCCAGCCTGCCGCCGGGCTAGGCTTTCCTGGCCATCTGATCGCGGAGAGGGCCCCGCACAAGGTGAGCGTGACCCGACTACCCTCCTTATTGCTAACGTGTTAACTGTCTATGGGAAATACTTCTCTAATCCCTCCCCGCCTCTCTTTTACTGCTAGTGATTTAGTGTCTCATCTGGATTTCTGCAGCAGCCTCCGTGCCACCCTCTCCGCCCACTCGTCCTGCTCTAGTCTATCTTCCTCCATGCCCAAGGCAGCCTGAGAGGTCTCCCCAGGAGTGCACACTCCAACACATCCCCCTGCTAATTAAGTCCTGGAACAGATCCCCACTGCTGTTAGGATATACCTAGCAAAATGTCCCCTTTCGCATGCAGCCCCTGGCCAGCTCACTCTTTATCTGCCCCACAGTATTACACATTCCCCTTCTTGCTAACCCAGCAGAGTTAAAGTTTTTTGAAGCACCATTCCCGTTTTCGGCCTCTCTGCCTTTTCACAAACTGTACTGTTCTGATCACCGCTGTCCTATGTCTTTGTCTGCCTAACTCCTCTTCAGAACTGCTACCAGTTTGTGAGGTACATCCTGACCTTCACACTGGGAGGAGTGGCAGAGATCCCACCACATGCTCCTCTTATTTCGTCATCTTCTGAGGCCCTGAAAGATTACATTTGGTAGGCGTCCTTGCAGTTCAAGTCACCCAACCATGTTCTTGCCAGGCTGGGTGAAAGTGATAGCCACTATGTCCAGCCTGCTCATTAAGATCCTAAGCCCCCTGTCAACCCTGGAAATCACATGCTGAAGATATTACAATCCCCATATAGAACAAAAGAGTCTTTGCTAAGAAGAGCTTTTCAAACCTTTGGACTGAGATGTGTTAAGCACCTGTGACTTCAGGACATTTGTTACCCAGCTACAAATGGGTAGCTCCTTTCCTGACTAATACAGGAAGGCCGCTCTTTCCCTGTGGTGTTAGTCTCTTCTAGCTTATGTCACACTCCTTACTTTGTTTTCTCCTTACAAGATAAACTCCCAGATGGTAAGTACTTCATTTTATCTTTCTAGAATCTACTCAGTCCATAGTGCTTGGCATAGTTTGCACTTAGTAAGCACCTTTAAAAATGCAAATCAGGGCCTCCCTGGTGGCACAAGGGGTTAAAATGTAACCTATGAAGTGGTCTGCAGCCACTGCAGCATGAGTTTGATCCCCGGCCAGGGAGCTACCCACATGGTGCAGCAGACCTCTCCTGTCTCGCCCGCTGCTCCCCTCAGCAGTGAATTTCAGTCAATTTGCCTGTTCTGTTCCCCACTCTGTGTCTGGTGAATCCGCTCACCCCCCACACTCTGGCCTGTACCCCAGTTCTTGTGCATAAATAAATCTTTGAAAAATGCAAATCAAAGAGACTTGAAAATAAAAATAGATATACAGAGCAAAACAAACATTATAGGTGGAAAAGTTCAAGGTCTCATTTGGTAGGGGGCTGAAATGGACAGAAAGGAAATAAGGGCCCACACTTCCTGCTTTCCTTGTGGGGGCCAAAAGGTAGGTACCACTGCTTCAGGGGCCACAAGCTTCCCTGCCACAGGTTCATGAAGCACCAGACTAAAAGGAACATTCCCCAGTTCTCTTAATCCACATCACACCCCTCCTTTTACCCCTTCTTCCAATTGTGCCCCTGCAATTTCCAGGAGTTGCTTTTTTATTTCATTCACTAAACAATTTATGAATTGAATTAAAATAAATGAGATGCAAATAAATTCCAGGCTTTCTCCCTCATTTTCAAATTACATTTTCAGTCCACTCAACCTGTTATAATCTCATAGTGATTTTCATTTAAGAGAGCTAAATGGATATGTGATTATTGTTACAGGAACTAACACCAGACAATTAAATGTTGAGGTGTTGATAGATAAAGCTGTGTTTTGATTTGCATAAACACGATGCCAGCAAATCTAACCCTGGCAGAAATTCAGTTATAAGACTTGCGTGCCTAACTTCTGCTAATTACCACAAGTACCATTATTAAGATTTTTAATATTCAGAGTTGGGATTACAGGCCATTTTATTTGAGGGCCACATTTATCTTTATTTTGAAAACTTAGTCAAAATGCATAACTGATTTATCAGAGAAAAGGCACGATGACTACTTATAATCAACTTCTACAGTGCAGCGTATCAAAAATCAATTACACCGCCCTGAAATCCAGTCATTAAGGATTTAGCTACTAATCTCATTTCATTTTTGTCTTTAGGAAGATACTGCTGCTTGCAACTTTGCAGATACCAGCAGAGGAAGAAAAACATGGGAGACTGCTGATAACCTAATGTGGAGAATTAAACTCCAACTAGACAAAGGCGGAATCTTAATACAGAGTGGTCCAGCTCTGCAGGGAGGTCACCTGGACTGGCTGGATTGCAATCCAATAACAGCAAAAGTTAGGACCCCAGTTTTTTTTTTGATGTTGAACCTTCTATGCTCAGGAATTCCAAAGCATTTGTTAAACTCTGCCATGCTCCATTGTTTACTGGCTTCCTAGTGCTTATCGCAGTCTGTAATTCCTTTAGTTCTAAGTTTAATTGTCTGCCTCCCCACTTTGCCTATCAGCCCCAGGAAGGTAGGGCTTTTACTCGGTGCACCTGTGTCTCCTGTGCATCACACAATGCCTGGCTCATAGTGGGTGTTCGTTAAATAAGTGCTGAATTTGACAGTCTGGAAGCCCCAGAATGCCCTCCTGGGCAGGTGGTTAGTATAATGGTAAACATCGGTTCCTCTAAGAGCCAGACAAGTGACAGCAGGACTCAGATTACCTGTTGGGCTGTGGATCTAAACAGGAAGCTGTGCGGCATGGGGGTAAGAATATTAGCAAGTGAGAAAGACAAGTGGGTCGACCTGGCTTTACCATTTGACCTTGGAACTGGAGCTTGTGTTTCCTCACCTGAAAAATGGGGATGACACCTATCCCATGGAGGTATTGAAAAGACGGAACAAATGAAGCATTTGACGTAGTGCCTGCACCATACAGTGATGCGGTAAACATAGCTAAATAAGATATATCTTACTATATCTAAATAAATATATAACATAAGCCATATATAGTTATATATAATAAACATGATAAAGCAAGAACATTCTATGCTAGTCTTTGGAAGGTATCACTTGTGGGGGGTTGGTTAATATCCTCCTGTGATCGGCTTGTTACTTCCCCTCAGGGCAGGTGGTCTCTCCTCTGTGATGCCATCGGCCCTGGACATGCCTCTCTTTTCACTTGACTCCTTAGATTACCCTGTGTTTAGTCTATCAGACTTTTAACTCCTTGTGTGTAAAGAATACATGAAAAAAAAATTGTGTTCTTGCAGTATTCAGTAAATCCACCAACACACAGTAGGCACTGGCGCCTGTTCATTTGTTACATTTCACAAACTGCAAGTTGAGGAGAAGATGGCCAGTTTGAGAGGAAGGCTGAGGCCACCTGTAGCTGCAGGATAAGGCAAGCCCCCACCTTTTCCAGAGCGGCAAAATCGAGTGTGTTTTCCCCAGGATGAGTCCCTAAGGCTCTTGCCTTTTCCAGGGGAGAAAGGCACAATGAGGCTAGGTAGCTGGGGAGTGTCCTCAGTTCTTGAAGAAAAGGTGTACCCCTGCCCCTCTGTGGTGACAACTTGGGTGGAACCACTTACCCGGAGCTTCCTGCCAAAGATGGTGACTTTGCCTTTTATCTGTTCCTTTCTGAGCCTCCACTCGATGGAGTTGAGGCCGTTCTCCATGGGCAGGGAGATGTTGCAGCGCCCAATGGTGGGGGTGATGGTGCCTGCAAGGACGTGGGGCTCGCTGTGGAAGCTGACACCCATTCCGTTGGCGTACATCACCCTCAGGGTTCCATTATTACAGAGCTGGTAGCTGTTCCGCACTTGATCTGTAGAAGTGGGGGTGGCAGTGGGGACAGGGAAATAAATGATCCACTCTGTTAGTCACGAGAGAACAGAACCCCTATTTTTATAGGTTTCCATGGTACACTGCAGCTGTCAGTCTAAGGCTGCCTTCAATTAGCACCCATACAACATTAAGGTGAGTAGCAGAGATGTTAGTGATCCATGCAAAGGAAAACATTATTAATATGTGGCACTCCAGAAATAATTATGCCATGATATTTTTCTTTTACTCACTGTAGACTATTAATAGTGCATTTAAACATTTAAAGATGTCTATTGCCTACACAATTTCTGTCAATCAAGTTCCTGATCTTTAACATATATATTTTTGCTTAAGTGGGAAAAAAAAAGGGAAGAGAACTGAAAAATAAATTTCTTCCCTTTTGCCCACCATCTAACCTGAGGTGGATGGAGTAGCCACAGGTCAGGTCCATGGTAAATGAAATCGAGGATTCTTCAAGGAAATCAAGAGGAAGCACCATCTTTGCTCTCCCCCTCCCGCTTTTGCTGTGAACTCTGCATGATGCCACCCCCACTTGAGAGAGGGGTGGCACTGAAGAGGCCTCCGATAGCATGAGGTGGACTGAGGCAGTGGGTGCTGATAAGGGGGCTTGATCTTTTTGAATGGAATCTGCACCAGCCAGACTTCTGACCTTTTCCTTTATCAAAAAGTTCCAGGAAGGAAATGCGAGTCAGGGACTCCTTTTACAGATGTTGCATCCTAGTTATCTGGGCAAAGGAGCCGGGCTAGGCTGGTCCGAGATGCCAGCTGCCAGGGCCTTGAGGAGCATGTACCTGTCACTAGTGCAGCCATCATGCAGAAGGACAGAATCTACATCATTAATCATTTTGCAGAGCAGAAATAGAGTTATTGAAACAGGCTCTGTCACGGGATAATAATCCAGAAATGCCACCATTTATCTACTGAGAGGGCACTTTTATCCCCTGACAATGGGTTAGCCCACCGACATCATATCTTAATTAAAAGAAAAATTAATCTGCATGATTCCTTTTCTTGCCAGCCCTTGTCCTTCTCCTGGACGGCGTGTCATGTTGAACAGCAAAAGCAGCTATGGGGTGGTCAGAACCTTTGAGATCCTGGTCTTGGCAAGAGCTTACTAAAGGGCTCTAAAGCCAGGGCAACCAACTCAATGAACAAGTTCCCTACCAACAACTTGGTAGGGAGAGTCAGAATGGGTTAAAAAAAATGGCGGACATAAGAAAATAAAGAGTCCTTGAAAACATGAAAAATGTTTGTTGGGTTGGTGGGGAATACTGTTGATAGAAGGGTGGAAGTGAGGTGACAGCTGGAATTTTCTGCTCAGTATGTAGACATTTTCAAGTGTCTAGATGTTTGGTAGGGAGGACATTCTCTGAATCTGACAAAGTCATTTTGTACTAGATCTGTACTAGTCTGCTACGGTCACTTGACTGCAACAAGCACTCTCCTCTCTGGAAGTTCTACCAGACTGAGTTCTGAGTCAGGAAGTGGGGTGGAGAAGGGCAGGGGGCCTACCTTGTACCACTGTGTAGGAGGCTTCCACCGAAGACAAGTTGGTAATGACAGTGACATCGTCGTCACGGTTGGAGTTCTCAATGTCAATGGTGATGGATTTCTCCATTTCCCGGTGCAAGCTGGTCACCACCCCCGTGGGGCGGGTCACATTGGTTAGGCGGCCCTCGTGGTCATAGCTGGAGGACAGATACACTGATTGGAAGCAAATCACTGAGGCTGAAGACTTGGCTAACATGGAGAACCACATAAGGGACAGACTCAAGGGCCAAAGCAAGAGGAATTGGAAGGTGGGGTGTCTGGGTGATATCACACTGAGGCCCCTTGTCATACTCACCAAACCCCAACCTACCCTGAGAAACAGTGGTGACACTTTCCAGTACCCATGAATACACCTGAGTTCAACTCAGTGAAAACATTTCCCCAGGTCTCCCAGGGTGTGCTTAATTATGCTTTCCCAAGTTAGCCAGAACAGCGCTTGTGTTCTCTGTTTTGACAATGTAGTGATCCTGACTGATCAAGAGAGAGGTGGGGCAAGTGAAATGGAGCGACTTAAGTCATCAGTTAAAAAGCAGCCACTTGTTCACAATGAGACTGATAAATAGACCTTTGAGAGGTAAGGATGGATAAAAGCCTACATGTACCCAGAGGCCAAGCCCAAGTTCAAATTAACAAGTGGCCCAGATAACACACCTCTGAAAGCAGTAGAAATACAGAAGCTGAATAAGGCAATCCAGACCCTGGACTCCATGTCCACAGTCTCCCATCTGACATCTGCCCCATCTCCTCCTCCCTTCTCTGATGAGCTGACACCTCAAGGGGACTTCGAGACCCAGAACTTGGGCACTCATGCTGGCCTCCTGAACCTCACCCAAGCAGTTCCTGTCTCGTCCCCTCTTTACTGCCAATTGAATTGTATACTTCTACTGTAATGTAGAACCTGCCCCTCCTCCAGATAAAATCATATTGTGATTTTATGCAATCGGTTCAAGTCATAAGTAAAACCTCTCCACGCAGGGAGAAGTTAGCACTTCTGCGATCCAAATCTCATATTATATACTTGTGAATATCTTTTGCTCTATAATTTATTTCACAAAGCCACTAAATTAATCTTCCTAAAATATCAGTTTTAGGATGTCACTTCTCTGAACTAACCACACTTTCCCATTCATTGCTCAGTCAGAATCCGGCATTTGAGACCATCAGGCCCTGAGTCTTCCACATTGGTACTGCCTTACCCCCCCAATTCATGGCCCTCTGGACACCTGGTCTAGGCCAAATGTCATCTCCATGCCTTGGCTCAAGCATGCCAGGCCTGGCTGCACAACAGCCAATACTGCAGCACAAGAATTCAAGTACCAGACCCGTGTATGTAAAGATCTTTAACTTCTGTGTCCAGATCCCAAGGCAATGACGAAGGAGCTTGATTTACAGAAACCAATTGGACTGAACAATCCTGTAGTTTTTGAGATAAATGGCTCTGTGCAATGCTAGATGCCTGAAACCCTTACCTTATTTGCATGCTTTCCCAAAATAATTAACATCCCTTTCCCAGAGCCTAAGGATTTGAACTTGGGCTCCATCACCTTGGTCGGCACCATGTCCATAATCAAGCCTTCCAGTCCCAAACACTCGGTGCTCAGTGTTGGCTCCTACTGTGCATCAGATGCATGGACAGCCTTTGGCAGCCCCTGTAACCTATTCTCTGGTCTGAAGCCCCAAACCAAGCATGGCTGTACACTCCATGCAGTATCCCCATGACTCCCCTGACCCCCATTGTCCTCCACAACCAAATGTGGGATCACAGTGAAGCCCCACTGCCTGGAAGTTTCCTAAAATTGGACCCTCCTCCTTTAAGTGTAAGGGCATCATCTCTTCTCTCTCAAAAGCTAGAGTTTTTTCCCGCAGCTCCTGTGGCTGGAAGTCTTGCTGTTCTACTGGGTAGAGGGTTTCTCCATCTTGGAAGATCCACTGTGTCCCAAGAGCCTGGCTCTCCTTATATCTTAGGAGAGGAAAACAACCTCTCGGGGTCTGAATGTAGACTCCTGAGCTCCCCCAGATGAGACTTGTTGCTAGAAGGGGATTGGGAGAGAGAAATGGAGTAGTGAAGGCATTCTGTTGGGAGGGGTGAAAAGAAGGAGAAACTGGGCTTCCCTGGTGGTGCAAGGGGTTAAGACGCAACCTATGACGCTAACCGCAGCCACTGCAGCACGAGTTCAATCCCACTGCAGCATGAGTTCAATCCCTGGCCAGGAAGCTACCCACATGGTGCAGCAGACCTCTCCTGTCTCACTCACTGCTCCCCTTAGCAGTGTATTTTAGTCAGTCTGCCTGTTCTGCTCCCCACTCTGTCTCTGGTGAATCCTCTCATCCCCCGCACCTCTGGCCTGTACCCCAGCTCTTGTATGCATACAAAAAAATTTTTTTTAAAAAGGAGAAACTACTGAACACATGAGTGTGCCCCTGGGGACCAGGCCCAGCAGCAGCATGGGCAGGTCCCCAGGACCCAGGAGATGAAACCCCAACTTGGGACAGATTGTAGTAATTAGATTTATCCACATTATGAAAATAAGAGCAGTTCTTCAAATCAAAAGAGAAAAGTATCATGCAGTTTCTATGTAATTTTTGAGCATTTTTAAAGAATCCTTATTTTTTAAAAAATGAATCATGCTCATT